CATGTGGTGTTCCCCATATTGCAACAAGCTATTGATTTCTGTTAGAGGATAGGCGGAACCCCCATCGCCGCGTCTCTCGTTCCTGGAACAGGATCTCTAATCACAAGGCATGATGGGGCCTGTTTTCATCAGCTAGAGATTGCCAAATAGCCCGCCATTTGAACTATTCTGATCGCAAATTATCCAGTTAATTTGTGTCTTCATTAGCCGAAGTTGCAATGAGCGGGATATTTGGTTGAGATAATAATCCCAAGATATCTTGGGTTAGTTTTCAAAAAATCATGCTATTTGGCACAATATCCCGCTATTTGTCCGGTGCGTTTTCACCAGCCCGAAGACTCACACTATGCGCGAACGTTGAGCAAAATATCTCGAGCGGATGAAGACGTGGTTTGTAACTTCGGGATTATTTCCCAAATCAGAAATAGCAGGATATTTGGCAATCTCGAGCTGATGAAAACAGGCCTATAGAAAGGGAAGGAGAGCCGGACAGGAAGTCTTCATAAAGTGTAGGTATCCGATAACATGTGAACCAGAACACTGGGCGAGAGAGAGAGAATAGGACGAGGGGTTGGTTTCGGCCGAGAATAGCGTAAGATTATTCCACTCATACCGAGATTATGTAGCGATATGTCACATCGACAAAGAGGGACTGGGAGGCATGTCAAATCATGGCTAGGATTTACATCTCAATTCCCTGCAAAAAAAAAGGGTAGCACGAGAAACAAGATATTTAAAAAAATCATTACTTAATTGTACTTACTTCTGTGGAATGGATAAAGTTTTCTACGTAATTAAATCTACTGGTCTATATACTTAATTAATTAAGAGAAATAGCTGTTAAATAATTTGCCCCTGACCTGCCATTGTAACCTTGTCTATTAATTAGAACAACTAATTTGACAGTGCTATAACCTGTTGTGATCTATCTTAATGCAGGATGAGTTGGATTGTTTTACCCATAAGATACTGAATTAAACAATTCATCAGAATTCTTAGAAACAAGTGTTTAGTAGTGTCTGCAAAGGGTTATTCTTTCTGCATGTTTTCATTACAGAAAGTTAGCATACTGTCTGGGAAGAAATGGGTTTGATGCAAGTCTCACAAGGCAACATTCGATGCTCTGGTGCCGTGTAAAATGTCATTACATTTAGGCATGGTGCAACAAGAGAATGCAATGTCATTACTACAGGCTGACGTATCCTGTCTGAAATCAGTACTTTTCGGGCGTTTTCCGTCAACAAAGGGTTAAGCATCCATCGCTGAGCCCGGCACGGCACGGCACATCCGTGGAGACTACTGGGGAGTCCTACACTTCAATCAATTCTTGGGTAACATCAGCGTGTGAAAACATTTTCTCAGGGCGATCAATTTGCACATTCAGCGCACTATTGATCCATCCCCAAACACCTTCCTTTTTCTTCCTTCTCCAGAGCTTAGAACTTAGAGTATTAAGGAGAGGCAGGGAGACAGAAAAGGAGAGAAAGTAAAGAGGAAAGGTTGGAGAAAGAAAGAAAGAAAGAAAGAGAGAAAGAGAGAAAGAGAGAAAGAGAGAGAGAGAGAGAGAGAGAGAGAGAGAGAGAGAAAGATTGAGAGAGAGAAAGAGGAAGAAGGGGAAGAATGTTAGAGAGACAGAAAAAGTGAAAGTGGGGCAGACTATTGACAAGAAGAAGAAATGAGAGAATGAATTACTTCAGTATTTATGGGAGAAAAAGAGAAGGGGACAGAGAAAGAGAGAGAAAGAGAAAAAAAGAAAAAGAGAGGAGAGAAGAGAGAGAGAGAGGAGAGAGAATGAGAGAAGAGACAGATAGAGAGAAACAGAGAAAGAGAGAAAGAAAGAAAGAGATTGTGCGAGCAACAGGAGAGAGGAAGAGCAAAAGTACGAGCCCATCAAAGGGAAGGAATGAAAGAGTGAATTACTGCTGGAGTCTGAGGGCAAATTCTTGGTTTACTCAGGGACTTGGGAGACACTGAATCAGAAGAGATTGTATGTATTAACACACACACATTATTTAGCTGCAGTTGAAGTTGTCTCTGGCAATCGTTTCTCTTCTTTCACATGCATATAGATGTTGCGTGTCAGATCAGAAGGTCAAGAAAATATTGCAAAAAACATGGCAAGTTGACTCTTGGAGTAAACATTGGAGCGAACATGTAGGTATTTCATTTGGCTGAACAAACACATGGATACTCTTAAATTTGTGATGGAAGCTTCTTCCGTGAACTAAAGCAAGAAATTGTATGTATTTTAAATTTTAAGTTTATGAGTTTAATAATGCACTTCTGGTCCAATCAGATGCAGTGTATGACGGTATCCCAATTCAAGACATTATCAATCCTCCATAAATTTAGACTAGATGACCATTTATTTATATTGTTCATATTGAAAATGAAAACCAAATAAAAAGTCATTGGTATCGAAATAAATTTGAAAGAATAATCTTTAAAACGACTGTTGATGCACACATATATAAGATACCTTTAGCTGCCTTGTTAAGTATGGAATATTGCACATTTCGGTTCTACACTTGAATGGGGGGAAAAATATTTGAAAATGCACATCTAGAGGTAAATTAATAACAAGAAGAGTAATTATTGAATTATTGAATTTTGCTCTGAGAGAATTGATGGGCAAGCGCCATGGAAGAGGCTTTTAATAAATCATGCACTGGCTTTTAGGTGTGGAGAAAAGAGTCCAGTGTCCGCTCTCTTCCGCCAAACTAACAATCGATGCAAGGGACATTTGATGAACGCACTGAAGCAGTTTGAACCGTATCTCGTTAGATCATTAGCTACTAATAACTCACTCTTATTCTCTCCCTCCAAATCCTCTCCCTCCCATCTCCCTCTTCCTCTCCCTCTCCCCCTCTCCCTCTCTCTCTGTTATTCTGGTGGCTTTTTTTTTTCCTTCTCTCTCTCTCTCTTTCTCGTATCTCCCTCTTCTTCCCTCTTTCTATCTCCATCTCTCTTCCTGTCTCTCTCTCTCTCTCCCTTCCCCCTCTCTCTCTCCCTTCCTCCTTCTATCTCTCTCTCCATCTCTCTTCCTCTCTCTCTCCCTTCCTCCCTCTATCTCTCCATCTCTCTTCCTCTCTCTCTCTCTCTCTCTCTTCCTCTCTCTCTCTCTCTATCTTTCTCTCCATCTCCCTTCTTCTCTCCCTCTCTCTCTCTCTCTCTCCATCTCCCTTCCTCCCTCCCTCCACGGTTATCTCGTTGATATGGCGAGTTAGTGGGAAATGTCAGGCTATACCCACGGGGATTTGGTAAATGTAGCATATTGATGTCACTGGCTCTTGCCTACAAATGAAACGATACGCTGGTAAAATGCCAAGCATCAGGACTGACGATAATTTTTTCCACTGTTTAACGGCCAAATGGCAAAAACCAGTGGCAAATTCAACAGCTCATATAACTGTCGCCCCCCCCCCCCATTCATACCGATAAAACTAATAACGTTTTGTACAATAAACAAACTTTTGAATAAAGAATAAACTGCCATGTAACAAAACATCGTACCGGTATAGCAAAACAGGGATGAGCATACTGTACCTTCATGACTTTTTTTAATGATGTGGCATTTTGTCAGGGTTGACTCATTCCATAAAAATTGTATGTTTTGAGAACTGTGCATGCACAACCTCTTCCCTCCAAAATGGGTCCTTTGACTCTTTACACAAAATTTATTTATACATCATTCTAATGTACAAGCCCCTTTTACTAAAAGCTCGTCATAATATAGTGACATATCTTTATGTACCTTTTGCTATAGTGTGAAAGGCTATGAAAGGCTGGAGAGCAAAAAAAAATATTCTGTTTTATTTACTAATGTAAAGCGCTTTGAGCATGTTTATGTAAAGGTGCTATATTACCCTTGTCTAGATGCTGAACAGGCTTTGACAAGTAGCAGAATAGAAGTAGAAGTAGAAGTATAAATATCAATATGTATATATGTATTTATGTATGTATCTGTCTCTTTCTATCCCTCTATAGGCTCTGCATCATTATTAGCATAAAAGGTAGATACTAAGATAGCTAATATTTCATACTGCGGCAATTTAAGGCTGCCGGCTTGATTGAGTGCCACATTTGTATGATTGCTCTCTCATGCCAAAGCTCTCCGGCACGGAGCCCTTTTTCTGCCCTCTTCAAAATCTATTGTGTCCTCATATCATAATTGCTGTAATGCCTATACCCTCTATTCAAGAAACTAATCTCTGAGATTGGGTGCAAGGTAAAAATCAGGGAATTAAGTGAATAATATCAACTAAATGATACCAATCGCTTTGATTGCGTTGAATTCCCTGGTGGTGGTTGAAGTAGAATGTATAATACCATTACAATATTCACCGCTGAGGTGGATCGAGTCCGGACTTAGTCTGAAATTAAAGCTACCATTTTGATCCATACCTCAACATCATGCTACCTTTCATATTTACAGCAGCTTAAAGCCCATCTGTACTAGTGTACAGGAGGGATTAGATCACACTGCAAGGTCACATGACAGGTGGTTATCTCATCAATTTGGCTCTCAATTAACATAAGAAAAAGAGGATCATGGGGGACCAGTGGTCACCGATTAGGCATGGTTTGCTATAATTATAGAGGGTGCAAGTAGCTATAAGTAGTGCAGTGGGCCTTTAAGTGCAAAGTTGTCTGCAAGTGCATTTGTTTCCATGGTTGTGCACATGGCATGCCTAATAATCGCACACTGTTTCCCCCCCCCCCCCCACTATCTTCTCGTAAAAAAATACAGAGAACCCATGAAGAGATATCTTGATCCGCATCGAGTAGTGCGGATCATGTTCATATTATGAATAATCCACTTCTGATCCAGACTAAATAAGGATTCAATCCTACTCTCAAAGATGATCAAAAAAGTCTACACCAAGTTCAGATCAAGGGATGCTGATAGCATTCAAAGGACCGAGTCCAGACTATTCAAGTCCGGACTTAATCCACATTAACTTCTCTGCTACCACAATATGAAAAGGGTTTAAGTTTACCTTAGATTCTGGCTTTGTCTGCTCACTGGCTGGATGACTGAGGCATTCCAGACTTTCCTGCACACAAAAAATAAGAAAGAAAAGATAGAAAAGTGATTAGCATAATCGCTTAGAACACAAAAAATAATCAAGAAAAACAATAAATTGTACAGTAAATATTTCAATTTTGTTGATACATGTTATACTTTAAATATAATTGAAGTCAAGTCTAATGTACTTCATTTAATTTATATCCGTTTTCGATCATAGAAATCAAAGTTCAAGCTACATGTATTCAAGGATTTCCTTTTCTGAATTGAAAGTCTTGTTTTTCAAGTTCTCCAATTCAATATTGTGGTTGAAAGAGAGAGTGTAATAATGCAACATTACACAAAATGTGTTTTAAGTGTATGTGTGCATTAAGAAAATGTGACACTCATTAACCCTCATAAAGATTTAAATTACTCTATTAAAGTAATATTTTGCTGATAGCTAAAAGGGCATTAGCTCATCCTTTTACACAGAGTTAATGCACTTCTGGCTCTCAAAAGACAATATCATCTCAGGGGGGAACATGGATCCCCCTTTTATACTTCAATTAGGAGAGCATACATAAATAATTTATGATTAGCTATTAACCTTCTACACACAAAAAACACAACAAGACATGGAACCCCCTACGAGCGGGCACGCGTATGGAAACAGAAAATTAGATGGATGATTTAGAATGGCCCATTCAAACTCTACATACTTCCTCCAATGATTGAGGAGGAAGCAAATTAACCCGTAGCGTGAGGGAACACTAAACATTTGGCCCGGCTCAACGCTAATGAACTAATGGGCCTGAAATTAAGAGGACAGTTCAGTTTGGGGGTAATGTATCACACTTGGCCAGTCAGTGCATCGACAGACCACATCTATCACCCAACATTTCATGGCCTATGGAGCATTCACACCAGAAGAAATGTATAGGAGACGCCCATCAAGAAACATTGTAGACCATCAAAAAACGTTGTATACCATCAAGAAACAGCGTACACCATCAAGAAACGGCGTACACCATCAAGAAACGGCGTACACCATCAAGAAACAGTGAAGACCATTAAGAAACAGTGTAGAACATCATATCTACAAACATCACGTGGTGAAATGAGGTACACACCCCAAGCAGATATTGTATAAAGAAAACAGGGTATGAGGAGCTCAGCTAACACCATACATCTAGTACCAGTGTTAGCTTATGTTGTGAGCATTAATTTTGCTGGCTGGAAAATATATCAGCCTGGAAAATATATCAGCCTGCAATCGAACGTTAGACCCGCCTGGTTGTACAGTTTTTATAAGGGTGAGGAATTTTCAATAGATATAGCCCCGTTTCTTTATTGATATATCACTTGAAATGATGCTGAAAGTTCTGTTTCTCTATGCAATGTATTATAAGACAACTTTCAGACAGGAGACAATTAAATACTCATAGAAATACCGTTTATGTACAGCTTTGCTAGTCTAGTGTGAATGGGGGGCTTCTAATGGGAGAGAGAAAGGCTCATTAGTTTTCCTCTTTACTGTGATGTTGTCTCTCTGCAAGGATATCTAGAGCATACTCTCCATCACTCTCCTATTCTTCTACCCCTCCCTCCCTCCCCCTCCTGTTTACTTGTGATGTTCAACAGCCAATGTTGTCCATGTGTTTCCAACATTAACACTAGCAGGTCATGCACCTTTGCCAAACAAGATAGGAGGGAGCGGGGACCTAATGTAGACGATGATGAATGAGTATTAGCTCGGTGGAAAATGAGCTCATGTTGTGTCCACGTGCACATGAGTTGAGTTTAAAAGGAATATCCTGGTTTCATTTTAATGAAAAGCACAAATGTTCTTTACTCTTTGCTTTAAACAAATTTGTAAATATCTAATCATCAATGACTGCTAATAATAACCCAACAATGCTCTTAAAATGGGATGCTCTCATTTCTCTCCTGTTTGCTACTAACCAAACCTCAAGACAATAATATAACAGAAGTTGAATGCGCACACAGATATTGCATATTAATGATGGCAGTTACTTTCTAAACTGTCCGTGAAAGTCTCCTTTTAATAAATAATCATATTTTCAAGTGAATAAATGGGATTGAAACTGACATCTGTATTTTATCCACAAAGCTATTCCTCTTGGTGAAGATATCATACATAAAGATTAGGTATAGATTTCAGAACAGCGTGTATTTTTTCAAGGCACAAATCCCCACTCCTATTGTTTTAGACATATCAATCATCACTTGGCTTAAGATGAGCAAATGCGAAACCACAAATTTTATTTCTATCCTGCCTTTTGACTAGTCCAGGTTCGTCTGTTTAATTCACTACAGGTCTCTCTCATTCTCCCATACTCTCTCTCTCTCTCCCTCTCTCTATCTCTCATCCTCTCTCTATCTCTCTCTCTCGCTCTCTCTCTCTTTTCCTCACTTTCTTTTTCTCTCTCCATTTCTCTCTTTTTCTCATCTATTTCTGCATTCTTCTACTCGCACTTTCTTGCTCAGATGGCAATAAACAGGAAATTAGACAAATCTACGGCTATTACATACAGAATGTGGCTGCCAAGTCATATCTAGAGGTGTTCAGTTCAAAATTATGTTCTGGCATTGTTGGGGTAGAGTCAGCGAGAGGGGGTGGTGCTCAGTTGGGGTAATGTGCAGAATAATACACTAAACGAGTATCAGTTATTAACATCATTGCTCTAAAAACTTAAAGTTAAAAACACCAATCTGGCATGATTTGAATTGAATACCGGTATAGGAGACATGAAGAATCTATTTGATCCATCAAGTATTCAATAACTCAGAAATTTAAGAATAGAGAAGGAAAATAAAAACGTTTTCATGCCACGTCTATACCAGGGATTACCGGCCTTGAGAATGTGATGGAATTTCAAACCTGGTAGAAAAACATTTCCAAAAATCATACAACTGTATGTGTCTCTTTCCTGTTTGCGTCATGAAAAAGGGTGAAGCACATGCACGTGTGTGGGTTGGGTATGTGGATAAGGCTCTATACAGGATTGATCTTTTGGATGGTATTTGATTTGGACCTATTGTGGCTTTATCAGTTTCATATAGATGAGGTTCAAGACCTGTGACTTATGTTATGATTCCTTCCATGTAGAACTGGAAACCTGTCGCATAGGCCTCTAGACGCCTGATAAATGTGTGAGAGTTGTCATCGATCATGGATGTTTACTGCAATGACAGTATGAGGCTATCTGTTGATCATACAATGACTTGTGATCCAAGCCTGGTTTCATATCATAAACATGAAAGACTTAATCATAGAAAGTACATTCAAAGAATGATTATGTTCTAAATGTAGGGATGCTACTTGCTAGTTGGGCACTCAGATTAGATTATTCAGTAACTAACACTATTAGTATTGTACACAAAGTACAGGAGGGAATAACATTTCATAATTTGAGTGACAAGACCTGTAGGCAGGGAATAATTTTCCTGGTATCGCATCGCAATTTGCTATGCATTTTTGCATGACTGCTATACAAAATATCTTTTGTGTAGCAGTTTTCTTCCATAGAAATGTACAGAATTTCATTTGAAATATTTATCCATCGGCTGACATTGCTAATCAAAAAATTTGAGGAAAATTATTCCCTGCCTGTAGGTCTGAAACACTCATTGTGGCACAGACATGTACGAGCAATGATTCTACAGAGTATGACAGATTTAAGACAAAAGAATGTTCCAAATTATAATTTACAACCCTTCATTCAAAAGGAAATATTTAGAGTAAGAAAGTGGATCATGATTGTGGGAAAGGAGATAGAGACCCCCTTTTTTGCCTCGGCTCAGAATTACCACCTTCCCTCTTGCAGAATCCTTAGGATCTTTTGAAAAGGGGACACACACACGCACACATGGGACTGCAGGATTAGCGAGTCAAGGGAGGAAACGGCCTAATGCAGGCTGAGATTGCTTGCTAGCTAGCAGCAGAAAGCAAGCAGAAGATGGGGAGAATCGCTGAAATATTACATTATGGGCTGGCAAAGTTGCTTGTGGTTCTGGCAGGCAGGCTACGTGCCAAACGCTGAGGATAATTGAGAGAGAGCGAGAAGCGATGCATGCATGCCCCTGGCTTAAATACAACATTGCGCCTGCCTGCCTCACAAATGCCTTGTGTCATTGCTTCTCGCTCAATAGTGAAGCCCATGCACCACGTGTCAGATTCCTGAACATTTTTCACCTACAGGCCAACTTCCCGTTGGCGTAAGGCATGAAAGACAGAATTATTTAGAGTTTAAATGAAGAGATAGGCAGGGGTGCAATCAATCTTGCACACACAAATCTCTCTATTCCTCCATCTCTCTTTCTCTATTTCTTTTTCGTCTCTCCATCCCCCTTTCTCCATCTCTTTTCTGTTTCTTTATTTTTCTCATGCTCCCCCCCCCCCCCCCCACTTTTTCTCTCATCTCTCTCATCTCTCTCTCCTTCATCTTCCATCATTCAGTCATTCAATCTTTCCTCTCTGCCCCTCCCTTCCCTCCCTCCCTCTCCATCTCTCTCCCTCTTTTCTCAGTTCTGCATTTATGAAAACACTCCTCTAAGCTGCATCCATCACAACCCTACCATTATCACCCCTTGTTGGCTTGAGTGTGTGACCTGTGGGAACATGGCCATGTCGTGACATCGCCTCGCTTCGCCTCAAATTCCCAGTTTTGCCTTAAAGGTAAATTTGCCAATTTGTAAAAACAGCAGTTTGAGGTTACCCCGTTAACGAGGGGTGCATTTCCTCCCCCTTTCACCGTTTACCTGTGATGCCGTTTAAGAGCCGCAACAAGGAATCGTGTCATGCAGGTGTGCACTGAGCGCAGCTTAGTGCTCAGTGCCTTTGTGGGATAATAAATGAGCACTATAGCACACCATCTCTGACATTAAGCGCATTTAACTAATGGACCATCTCAAAAGAGTATACCTATCATCTCTGTTCACCACAGCAGTCAGAACAAAAAGAAATGGAAGTGTGTAATCGTTTCAGTCCATTTCCAGTAAATAACTGCATCCTTCAAATC